GGGCTGCTCTGGAGGGTTCAAGGGTGTGGGGGCCCAACTGGGACAGAGAGGTCATGGGACGCTGTCTGGAGGAGGACTTTAGGAGGGGCTGAGGGGTCTTCCTTCTGCCTTTTGAGTTTGGGGATCTGATTTTCTTGTCGGTGGTCATTAGCTTGTCTCTTTTCTGGCCAATTGGCTCCCCTGAAGGGGTCATCAGCCCTGATGGGACTGCTTTTCCCAAGACTACCAAGGACAACTCTACCAGCCTCATCACAAAGACAGGGTCTGCTCCGCTTTGGCTCCTTGTCCAGCCTGTGTGTAGATCCTGTAACATCCTCACGGTCTGGCAGGGGCATGTACACATTGACTGGATAAGTCTGTGGTCAGCTAAGCCAGTCTGTTGCCCACCCTTGGCTCAGAGCTCTTGGTTCTGAAGACTGTGGCTCTGGGCCCACACTGGCCTGGGACAAGCAGGCTCTTCCTGAGGGGTCGGCGGACTCTGCCCCAAGTGAGCATCTTCACCCGAACCCTCATCCCCCTGGGGAAGGCCTGACATCTGCTCTGTTTCATTATATGTCGGTAGTTTTCTAACTTGGTAACCCCTCTGTCTTCATTTCTCTCATCTCCTCTCCTCTCCCACTTATACCCATCTCTGTGACCTGACATCAGGAAAACACAAGGTCCCCAGGTGGTTGGCATTTGTGCCCAAGATCTGGGAAATGGTTCCAAGGAAGCCCGGTCTTCAGAGATGTGTGAATCCCATGAGAGTATTTTGTCTGTGGCTTATGCTCTGCCTTTGGATCCTGCTCTCCGGAGCAGATTTATCAGAGTAAAACCATGGCCCATCCACTGAGCTGAAGCTCATGGTCACAGGCTCTGAGCAGGCCTGCGGAGAGGACTGGTAAATTTCACACCCACCACTGATGTCATCAGTGAAATCATATTAGCAGGTTGTGGGTGATGACTTACTTCCTTGGGTCAGTCACAACCAGTGGCCTATTCCTTGTCACCGTGTCCTGAAGGGACCTCTCCAGATTCAGCCTAGTCTGAAATCAATAGGGAGGGAAAATATGCAGAGTACACGCACACAGTAGAAAAATGGATGTGTTGTTTTTAGAAATCCTTGATTTCCACAAAACCCAGAATGTTTTCTCAGTTTACCTGGCTTGGAGAAGCAGGGCCCTTTGGGGTATATGTGCTGAGCTCCTTGTTAACTCATCTCATCACAGGGGAAGGTACACAGAGGCAGCAGGAAAGGATGAGGAGAGAAATTTGGATGCTTCAAGAACACAGTGCAAATAGAAGTATCTGTAGAACTGCGAACCTATAAACCCTAGAAGAAGAGAAAAGTAAAAAGATAGAAATATTATAAGAAATAATGAAGATATGTTTTCCAGCATTAAAGGAGGACACAATGAGAAGATTTTGTATCAGCTCTAGCTGCATAAGAAGCACCCTCAAAATATCACGCATAGTAGGAAGCATTCATCCTCCCTGACAGGTATGCCAAGTAGGGGGACTATCTCTGATTACAATCAGAGCCACCCAGGATTAAACTTTTCTGTGTCCTGTTCTTTGTAACCCCATGAATTGTAGCCCACCAGGCTCTCCTGTCTGTAGGATTTCCCAGGTAAAAATATTGGAGTAAAATAAAAAAAAAGAAGACTAAAGTAGGTTGGCATTTCCTTCTCCAGGGGATTCCCAACACAGGGATCAAACTTATGTCTCCTGCTTGGCAGGTGGATTCTTTATCACTGAGCCACCTGGGAAGCAAACTCTTCTAGGTAATATTAACATGCTGATGGTGAGTGTGTGTGTGTGTGTTGGCAAGTGCTTGTGAAAGTCAAAGGATTATGAGAGTGTTAGGGGGCATAGGATTTGGTTCTTTTACAAAGTCCACAACAGTAACCACTTCTTTCTACAAAATATCCAAACCCCGGAAACATTGCTTCAGTTGGGTGAATTTTAGTATACTATTCAGCTCTTGGCACAGGAATACTGCCTGACAACCTGCCCCTCCCCCTCACCTTGACCTCACCTTGATCTCAGCAGTGAGTTGTAGCAGGAGTCCATAATCAGGTCAGGGTCTGAGATAGGCCCAGAGTCGTGGCTGTGTGGCTTTCCTTTAGGTCAGCACAGCTGGGCTCACCCTGGGGTGGGGTTTACATATTCTGGGGTCCAGACCAGGTGCCTGACCCTAGAAGCTCCCATATCACATGTTCTCAGACTAGGGTCTTCCAGGGCCCCCTCACCTTGGAAGACCACCAGAGAGCAGGAGGAATCTTCACATCTTATCCTGATGCTGTCAACCCTGCCTCCACTGCACAGGCGGACAGCAGTCATGTGCCAGCCCACCACTGCAGGAGGCTGGGTCAGGGCAAAGGGTACAAGTGAGCTGGTCTTCATCTTGGGGAAGGGACAAGGACCACAGGCATGCTTCTCTGTGCAAGTCTTGGTACCATAACCTGGAGCGGACAGCCCAGGTCCTAGGGTTGCATGTGTGGTGATGGACATTTGTTCTTCCCCAAAGTAGGAAACCCAGCAGAACTGGGCATGGCAGGGGCGCAGACACCAGTGACTAAGTGCTGAGGAAAGGCAGGGATGAGAAATACAGGGTCCAGGGTGGGGTCACAGGACAGCTGAGGAGCAGGTGTGAGAGACCTATGACACTCTGGCTCCTGGTCTGGGTGATGGATGCATGGGTGTCCAGCATGTTGTACCAATGCCAGGAGTGCCGCGAACCAAGACAGATGACATTGAAGCTAGCTCTGGGCAACTAGAGTTCTTAGGAAACGACAAACCAAGAGAAACCTCAAATGCACCCTGGTGTCAGAGGAAAGTCCAGCATGTGTTTAGAAATAGGTAGTTGATTGGATAAGGGCTGAGGGGTTACTCCATCAGCCCAGCCTCTGAGGACCTAGGGGTGGGGGACTCCACCCCCATCCACTGAAGACCCTTGACGTGGGCTCCACATTTGCCAGGCTGGGTCTTGGGTTTTGCCCTTTATGACCCCCTGGCCTGAGGGGCTCAGTGGGGCCTTGGGTGCCTCCCAACCTGCTTGGGCTTCCCTCCCGAGGGCCCTTGCTCACCCGTGTCCCTGCATTGTGGGAACCATCGCACGCAGGAGAAAGCCTGTCTCCTTTATACTCTTGGCCGTGACAGAACTGGGAGGGGACCCAAGTGTCCCAGGAGGGAGGGACGTGGCGTCCCAAGGAAGAGGCCCTGCAGTCTCTGGTGCTTAACATGTCCCCAGAGTGGAGTTTCTCCTGGTTCAGACCTTGAGCTATGGTGCCTGAGGCTTCCTGAACCCAGGGGCAGAGGGGCAGGTGTGGCTGACTCCCTCAGGGTGACAGATTGTCAGCCCTCAGGTCCTGCTCCTCCTTGGTATTCTGCTGTGAGCATAGGAATTGCACTCTCGTCTAACCTGTTTCCATTTATTTACCATCATACCCCTGCTAAGCTTATCTACTCTCTTTTTTTTCCCTAGTTATTGAAGAATATATAGAATATATAAAATACATTCTTCAATAATTATAATCATTGAATTATAATCCAATATAATTATAATATATAAGCTGAGTGCTGAAGAATTGATGCTTTTGAACTGTGGAGCTGGAGAAGACTCTTGAGAGTCCCTTGGACTGCAAGGAGATCCAACCAGTCCATCCTAAAGGAATCAGTCCTGAATATTCATTAGAAGGACTGATGTTGAAGCTGGAACTCCAATACTTCAGCCACTTGATGCGAAGAACTGACTCATTAGAAAAGACCCTGATGCTGGGAAAGATTGAAGGTGGGAGGAAAAGGGGACGACAGAGGATGAGATGGCTGGATGGCATCACTGACTCATTGGACATTAGTTTGAGTAAGCTCCAGGAGTTGGTGATAGACATGGAAGCCTGGTGTGCTGCAGTCCATGGGGTCGCAAAGAGTTAGACATGACTGAGAGACTGAACTGAACTGAAGAGGCTCCTTTTATTCAAATCATAATGCGTTTGTATCCCTGGTGGCTCAGATGGTAAAGAATCTGCCTGCAATGAAGGAGACCTGGGTTCACTCCCTATGTTGGGAAGATCCCCTGGAGAAGGAAATGGCAATCCACTCCAGTATTCTTGCCTGGAGAATCCCATGGACAGAGGAGCCTCTTGGGCTACAACAGTTCATGGGCTCAAAATGTTGGACACGGCGGAGTGACTAACACACATATTTACTAAAGGTGGGAAACTCTTAAAGTACCCCTGGTACTTTTAATATGTAGCAAAATTTAAAAATCATGAATGCATTAGAGTTGACCTCAGAACAACACTGGCTCAAAGTAGGTAGGTACACTTATAAATGGATTTTTTTTTTTTAAATGCATTTGTGGACTGTAAACAAATTTCAACCATAGGCTATCAGTAGTTAAGTTTTGGGGGAATCAGATGTTCTATGTAGATTTTTGACTGTACTGCGGGTAGATGCCCCTCACCCCTTCGTTGCTCAAGAGTCAACTGTACCAATAAGTGACCAGCAATAGGCCATTCCCTGGTGACTCAGCTGGTAAAGAATCAGACTGCAGTGCGGGAGACCTGGGTTCAATCCCTGGGTTGGGAAGACCCTGTGGAGAAGAGAATGATTACCCAGCCCAGTATTCTGGCCTGAAGAATTCCATGGACTTGTATAGTCCATGGGTTTGCAAAGAGTCTGACATGACTGAGTACCTTTCACTTTCTTTCACTAAATTTAAATTCATGTAATGCTTTGCATTGATTCTTTCTCTGGTCTTTTATTATGCAGAAATACTTGCATAATTTCGCAAAGATGTTGGAAAGGTGCCCGGCAGAGCGGGTCAGAGGCCAGGCGCTTAGGAACTGAGGTCATAGCGTGCTCAGCTTTCCACTCCAAGGGCAGAAGCAGGAGGGGCATGCCATGTGAGCCGCCTGGACCAGGACCAGGGGCCAGCTGGGGCGAGGCGCCCTCTGAGACAGGGTCACAGGTGTGGGATTACATCACAAAGTGGGACTGCCCTGGGGGGAATGAAGGTCACAGGTGACCACAGACCAGGGAGCAGGAACAAAGAGTCCCCAGACTAGGGCGCTGATGAAGCTGAGAGCGCTGGGTTCATAGGAGAACTCTGGGCTGGGACTAGGTCACAGCCTGACTCCCCAGGACGGGGAGCGGCCGGAAAGGGAGCCGAAGTAGGAAACCTCAGGGACGCCACACCCTTTACAGCTGCTTCTTACAAGTCAGAGATGCAGAAACAGGAGTGGGCTATGAGGCGCACAGCCTAGGTGTGGACCCGGGGCTGTAAGTGAGCTCCCTGGAGGAGCCACCCAGGAGGAGCAGGGCTGCAGGCAGGTGGGAACTCAGACCTGGCTTCTCATGGGTGGGGCTTCTTGGAGGACAGGGCTAGTCCCACCAGCTGACCCTGATGTTTCTGTCTTGATCCAAGCTGATTCTCTCCAGGTAAGATCTCTGGAAGCTGTCGTGCCAGCAGCGGCCACCCCACACCACTCGCAGCTCCATCCTGGGAGGACAGAGACGTTCACCTGTGTCCTCGGAAGAAGGGACCATGACCAGACTCTGGGGGACCTGCCAGCTCCTGCTTGCCCTCCTGGTGGCCCTGGTGGCCCTGGGGGGCAGCACGCTTGTATACAAGGACACGAAAAAGGTCTTGAGGGAATTAAGGAACGTCAGCAGCTCAAGCAGCAATGTGAAGCAGTGTCTGTGGTTCGCCATGCAGGAGTACAACAAGGATAGCAGGGACAAATTCCTCTTCCAGGTAGTCAAGGTGTGGCAGGTGCAGATGCAGGTAAGGGCACTTACTCCCACTTTGCACACTCGCTCCTGCTTGCCCCTGGCAGCACAGACCGAAGCCAGGATGAGAGAGAGGGCATGTGAGCTGCACTGGGACCCAGTAGTCCTGGACACAGTGGCGCTGGGCCCCACGGCCAGCTCCCTTTCTTAGGTGCCATGACGACTGTCCTAGGGGCCCCAACCTATGAATTCAGTTAAACTCCAAATGGCAAATCACACATTTGTGATCCGTGTTTGCTAAGGTTGTGAGACAACTGAGCACCATGAATATTTTTACAATAATGCTACCCTGAGTGATATTCAATCTCCCCATATCCCGTGGGATATGGGCTGACATGGAATAGGTAGGCTTATAAAGTGCCTCCTCCCAGATCCCTTCATTCTCTCAGTCCTACATCTTTTTAGCGGCAGTGGTTCTGTCCATGTAATCCGTCCCTACAGGGCCTCAGGTGACCCAGTGCTGAGAGTCATCGATCACCTGATATCCACATGGGGGACACTCCACCCCCACCTGCCAAGTCCACTAAGGGGTCCTTGGTGTTGGAATTCTGCTGACTTCTAGCCTCAGTCAGGTGTTTGGGGTGTGGTTGGGGTATGAGTACACAGGAAATTTGCAAGGATGTATTGCAAAGACATTCAGCAGACAGGCCATTGTGACAGACTTACCCCGGGTGTTGGACTCCAGGTTCTCTGGTGGCAGGAGCGGGGCCAGTCTACACGTGACCCTGTCTCCAGGAACATGTGCACCATCAGCCCGGCGTCCCCAACACAAGCTCCATCAGGGGCACCGCCGTCACCCTTCAAAGTAAAGGCTCCTGGGTCCTGTGACTTCTGCACAGGAAGAAAAGCCCTTCACAGTTTTCTCCTTTGGGACCCTCAAGCAGTAGCAGACGCTGTAGATGAGGCTGAGATGGAAACAAATGATCACAGCCTTTAGAAAGCCAGGGGACCAATTAGAAGACAAAGTGCGAGACTTCCCTGGCTGTCCAGTGGTTAAGACTGAGTTCCCCTGCTTTGGCGGGGCGTAGGTTTGATCTCTGGTTGGGGAACTAGGACCCAACATGCTGCACGATGTGAACAAAAATAAATTAATTAAGTAAGTAAAGAGCTGTCTTTCACTGGAAATCAGGTTCTACTCTCAGCCAAGACATGTTGATCAAAGAGAGAGTTGGTGGCTCATTCATTTCTGACTCTCTGTGACCCCGCAGACTCTAGCCCTCCAGGCTCCTCTCACCATGGGATTCTCCAGGCAAGAATACTGGAGTGGGTTGCCATTTCCTCCTCGAGGGGATCTTCCTGACCCAGGGATCAAACCCAGGTTTCCTGCATTACATGCAGACTCTTTACTATCTGAGCCACCAGGGAAGCCAAAGATGATGAAAAAAAAAGACAAAACCCTGAGCCAAACTCGAGAGCTGGGATGCCGCCTACAGCACGTTGCTTGTGGGGCTTCCTTAAAGAGTTGGTGAGTCCCCTTCCTGCACCAGCCACACCCTCACCAATTAAATGAGGATCTCTGGGTGGAACCTGGGTCCCCTGCATGGTCTTGACTGAGCCCTGCCTCCTCAAGTTAAGCTGAAGGTGACACCCAAGGGCAGACAGGCTACAGGGAAAGGAGGTTGGTGGGAGGTGTTTTTTTGGGGGTTGCCCAGAAGCAGCCTCTAGCACTAGTGTTTCAGTGAAGTGGTTTATTTGAGAGGCCATCCAGGAAGCACCTGGAGGTCAGAGGGGATTGAAAGGGGGCAGGGAAGTGGCCAGGGCAGGGGAGTCGCTGAGCACGTTGAGTGTTGAGGGCACCTGGACTCCGTGTCCCTTGGGCCTCGAGGAGATGGTACAACACCTGTGCAGGGTTGGACCGCCTGTAGGAGGGGAGCTGGGTTCCTCTCCCACCAGCTCTCGCCTGTCACTGGCTGGGAGATGCTTCCAAGGCCCTTGGCTCCGTCTGGCAGCAGGGAGCCCCGGGAAGCAGCAGAGTAGGTGGGTGCCTGGGCCCCGGCCAACAGTCTCCACTACAAGTGAGCAGGGAGAGTTTAGGGGTGCAAGGGGGGGATGAAGGAGTGCGACTCCTAGCCCTAAGGAGCCAGTGTGAGCGGCCAGACAGGTGGGCTGTGACCAGGCCAGGCCGGGCCTCCTAGACTGTGGGCAAGATGTTCAGGCTGTCTTAGGAAGACTAAAAGCCAGAGGGGCATCAGGTTAGGGAGTTCTTGGGATCCCTGTGACCAGATGTGGTCTTTTAATCTGCCATTCTGGTTTCCTCACCTCCGGAAAGGGGCGTGTGCATTCAGGTCCCCAATTCCCTTGAATCAAGTCATCCTCTGCCTTCCTGTGGCTGGAGGAGCCGAGGCCAGGACTGCAGGGGGAGAGTGTGTTCCATGTCCAATGCCTCTGTCTCAGTCCTGGGTCTGCCACCAGCTGGCCAACTGGCTTCTCCCACAACAGCCCAGTCTCCCTGTTAGTTCTCTGGAACAAAACTAAGATGTCATTTGTTGTTGTTCAGTCACTAAGTCACGTCTGATTCTTTGCGAACCCATGGACTGAAGCATGCCAGGCTTCCCTGTCCTTCACTATCTCCCAGAGTCTGCTCAAACACATGTCCATTGAGTCAGTGAGGCCATCCAACCATCTCATCCTCTGTCCCCTTCTCTTCTCGCCTTCAATCTTTCCCAGCATCAGGGTCTTTTCCAATGAGTCTGCTCTTTGCATCAGGTGGCCAAAGTATTGGAGTTTCAGCTTCAGCATCAGTCCTTCCAATGAATATTCAGGGTTAATTTACTTTAGGATGAACTGGTAGGGTCTTCTTGCTTAAGACTGGAGAGGCAGTGTGGGAAGGCCTGGTAGCAAAGGTTGACTCCAGGGGAACTTGGACCCAAGCTGCAGACACACTCCTGTCTCCTGCTGTCTTCTTCCTCTTTGCTATATTTTACTTCCCCTGGTCATCAGAATCACCTGGAGGCTTGTTCAGACACTGACTGTGCATGCCCCACCCCCCACCCCCAGCAGTTTCTGACTCAGTGGTTCAGAACCTGCATTTCCATCCACTTCCCCGGTGATGCTAATGCTGTTGATCCGGGGACCCCACCTACGAAGGTCTGGGACAGCACTGTGGAAGGACAGCCCTTATCTATTCCTGCTCTGACTCTAAGAGCTGATGGGAGAAGTATTTTCTGCATGGCGGGCTTGGCTGTCTCTAAATCCTACTGTAATCTTTTAAAACCAGATGGAGGCAGATTTATTAATAAATGGACATAAAGCAGCCTTCACCTCACTCAATCATTCATGAATTCTGTCAGCTGCTCCTGTTCTGCTTCCTAAACACTCAGAGAACAGGAAGACAGCAAGCCTGGCTACACAGGACCCTGGGGTGGGGTTAGGGGTCTTGGGTGGGGAAGCCTCAATGGGCAGGGGATCTTAGGTGACAAAATCTGAAGGGGGGGTGTGTGTGTATGGGAAGGGGCTCAAGGAGGAGATCCCATGTGGCCGAGGGTCCTGTTCCCAAGGGGCCCAAGTGAACTGGTAACACCCCAGGCGCAGGAGCCAGTTGTTCTGAAGTAGAAGGTCTTGCCTTCAGGAAGGCCCCATGCTGGATAGAGCCTCCGCCCCCGGGAATCCGGCTCCAGGTAGGGGTATCTTTGTGTGGTGGTTCCACAGGCCATCTCATAGATATGTTTGGAAGGGGGAGGAGGAGGAGATAAGGAGAGGGAATGAAAGGAAGAGCAGTTTTTTCAGGGTTTGTTAAAAACATTAAAAAGTAGAAGGCTTTTTGAACAAAATTGCATGACTGCTAATCAACAGGTCACGGATTGCCTGGAATACTTTATTGATGCTGAAATCGCCCGCACCAACTGCAGAAAGCTTCCAAACGGTAATGAGAATTGCGTGGTTAAGAACACCTCCAAACCGGAAAAGGTAGGGGACACACCAACTATCTGCGGTGGTCTTGGCTGCTCTGAGCCCCAGGCAGAACTTGTGGTACCCAGATCTTGTCTTTGAGTGGTCAACACAACTCCCAGAGCAGAGCCCCAGAGTGGTCAGTCCTGCAGCCCTTGTAGCAAACAGTGCAGGGCAGCAGACTGTGAAGGAAGCCTCGTCCTAGGGACAGGGTGCTGTCAAGATCACTCTCAGTGCAAGGCCTCCATCCCTCTGGGTTCCTGGCACAGGGAAACTTGCTCACACACATTCACTGGGAATCCACCCTCTTGGACCTGGAGGTACCACCCTACTGTGGCCCAACCCGAGGTTGCCCATCCTTGTGAAAGTATAAAGGGAAGTCCATTCATTCACTCAACTGCTAATCAAAGCTTACCAGGTGCTATGCTGGGTGCTGGAGATTAAGCAATGATCAGGTTAGGCATGTCCCCAACCTCCCAGGCTCAGCCTTGGGAAGAGCCCCAGGCTCGAAGCAGAGGGTTGATGTGGCCCGGGGGCTTTTGGCCTCAAGCCTGTATTTCTGACTTGGGGTGGGAGTATCCCGGGTTGACTTGAGGGCTTCCTCTGATGTTGGTGAAGCCCCCCGGGCTCTCTGCAGGCGGAGGTGGGTCCCTTCCTTCACACTCATGGTCCTTCACATGAGACAGGTCAGAATCATTTGGCGGCCTTGACACACCTGGATGGCAGGGTTCCCCCTGCAGAATCAGACTCAGTAGTCTGGAGAGGAATCTAAGAACTGGTGTTGCTAATGAGCTTCTGCAGTGGGGTTCCTTGGGACTGTGCTCAGAACTGCTGTGGCATGCAGTCACAGTAGGGAACACAAAGGTCTCTTGAGGGGAACCTAAAACTTCCTCTGTGGGCTTACTGTGAACAAATCCACCACTTCCAGCAGAGCAGAGGCTCCTCAGGACAAACATTCAAGCAGGGAGCACGTGGGATACCATCTGATCTTTTATTTTAGTTTTGTTTATCTTTTCGTGGTAGTAGAAATATTGTGGGCTGAAGTTTATATTTTCTACTGGGTGCATTGAGGATAAAGGAGAGTTGTTACTTTTTACCTGTTTGTAGAAAATATTAAAGAATTAACACTAAGATTAATTAGGAAACTTGTCTCCAGGAAGCTCTTTTATTCTTTTGTAAAGTCTCCATGGCCCATCTTGGTTTTAGAGCACACATTTTTAAGTACACATTTATCGATAAACAAAACTTTGTTCCTTTCTTTCCAAGTGTTTTGAATAATATGCTAAAGAGGAGTCATGCTGGGTGGTGTCTCATTCCTGGAGGACTTAATGGGATTCTTTTCAGTATTTATACCTTATTAGTAAATACTACATCAGGTGTTGATTTCCAAAGTTCTTCCAACTCCCTCTTTATCAAAAGTTATTTTTTTTTAATTAAGGATGTTTTCTTCTATTAATTATTCTTTCAACATCTACCAAATATATTGAATAATTTTTCTTCTTTGACCCATTACTAAAATAAATTCAAATAATAGATCCCCTAATATTGAGTCATCCTTATGTGTCTGAAATAGGAAGTACGTGTCTTTTTTCGGTTGTTCTGTAACTGAGTGTCGTGGTTAGTTCTCATCTGCATTGAGAGTGGTGGCAGGTGCATAGATCAAGGTGTGCAGACTTTCTGGGAGAAGCTGCATCTTTGGCAGGGTTTCTGGACAACTGGACCTGGACATGGCAGGGGACCGTCCTTGTTCCTCTGACCCGATCAGCTTTGTGGAGCTTGCTATGGACACACACATATGGCATCCTCCTCTCCTTTATGGCAAATTTCTAGTTCTGTTTGATTGCAAGGGTGCAATTCCTGAAGGTCACTCTGTGGATGGGCTTGTGCATGTGGGTGGCTAGTCTCAGGTCACTGCTTTGTTGTGGACAGGACAGCCTGTTTTTCTTGTCACCTCCCTTTGTGGGAGCCATCCTGCGGGGTCCAAGCTGGAAGGGAGCAGTGGCGTGGGTGGGGTCTGCCCTCGTCTCTTAGAATATAGAGGGCTTAGTGAAATGAAGTCACTCAATCATGTCCAGTTCTTTGTGACCCCATGGACTGTAGTCTACCATGGCTCCCCTGTCCATGGGATTTTCCAGGCAAGAGTACTGAAGTGGGTTGCCATTTCCTTTGCCAGGGGATCTTCCCGACCCAGGGATCGAACCCGGGTCTCCCGCGTTGCAGGCAGACACTTTACTGTCTGAACCACCAGGGAAGCCTGGTGGCTTAGGGTGCCACTTTTTGTTTATGAATTTTGCTTTTCTATATATCAATATTAAGTACACTCAAACTCCCCAGAGAATGACTTGGAGTGTGTGGTACACACACACACACACACACACACACAGATTCCATGGCCTCATCTCAAACCTACTGAATCAGAAGGTTCAGGTACAGATATTGTACACACTTCATGTCAAGGGAACGCTGAAAAACACTGCACAAGGGTCAGCAGTTGTTCAATATGCTGCCTTTAATTTACTGCCTTTTTAAAGGATATTATTTTCTATTTTACTAGGTAAGCCTGGGTTACAGTTTATTTCTTGGTTGTATTTTGGCTTCAGGGTTTCTCTGGTCTGGTGTAATGAGAACAGGGACTTTTCAACTTTTTTCTGCAATCAGATCAGTTTAAAGACCAAAAGAGCTTTGGATTCCCAAGGTTTGATGTAATCTGGCCATAAAATCATCTTGACTTGGTATCTTGTGGGTTTGTGGGGACCCCACAATCCTCCTTTGTGTGTGTCAGAATTCAGCCAAGACCTAACGCCCTTCTCTCTGACACTGTTTGCCCCTCACTCCTGAATTGCCCCTGTGTTTCCAGTCAGTTACTGAAGATGGCCACTGCTGTTCTTCTAGAATGTCTACCTGCCTGTCCATCTGCCTAAGCCTCTTTCCACCTGTTTGTCCATCTATTACCCACAGAGAAGTTTTCATTTGTCATTTCAATGACATTTTGAAAGGGAGAAGAAGGAGCTTTGGAATAAAATTTATGTTAGGTCCTAGAATCCTCTACGTTGCTCTTATCTGATGTATTTGTTATCAGAGCAAAAGGCATTATTTGATTATTAAGATGACATGTATTAGTTTATACCTGGCACAGAACTGTGGTATTTACATTATAGACAATATTAAGGAGGATTAAAAATAAAATCAAATTTACATCTGATCTCCCACCAAAAATATGATGATTAGTATTTGCTGTCTATCCATGGATGGGATGGGGACAAACACACCTCCATGTAAGTTCTGGTGGCTACGAGGGTCTGCAGCCTCCAGCCAGCAAGTTCTGTGGGGTGTTCCTTGACGGGTGACGACCCGTCTTCTGGTCTGTTCCTATGCTGCACCCAGCTCCAACGCTGGCACCCAGCTCCTACGCTGGCACCCGGTAACAGAACCACTTTTTCTCTTGCACTTGGCACACTGCTGACTTTTGCTGTGGTGGTGGTCTTTTTCAGAGACAAATGTGCACCTTCTGGGTGGGCGCACTCCCATGGCACGGCTATTTCACTGTAATGAAGAAGCAGTGTGTGGACGCCTAGAGGCTCTGGAGCCCCGCCAACATCCCTCCCTTTATGAAGAAGTGATGGCCTGTGAGCCGTTACCAACACCCTTTCCTCACGCGTGTGTCCCTGCGTGTTGTTCTACTTTCTAGTTTCTTGCTATGTGGTAACAGAAGGTGGGCAAGACCCATGCCTCCTTCCTGGCCTCACAGGAGGGCACTTGCCTTTGGCTGACGTGACGGCATGCCACTAGGAATGGGAACGTTTGTCCCTGAGCACAAAGGGTGAAGTGAGGGCTGATTCCATTTTCCACCGCACACTTGGGAAGGAATCGCTTTTTGATCGGATAACACCCCTCACACACACACACGCAGACATACACACACAGAGGGCTGAATACAGTGGGTGCTAACTCACAAGTTCCTTCTGGGAGCCTCATCTGGCTTCAGACTCCTCCCTCCCTGGGTCCTGAGTGGATGGGTAACCAGGGGGCTGGGAGACCCCCTGGCAGAAGCATCAGTCCTCCCCTGCGGGGTCTCTCAGAATTGGGAGAATTTGTTTTACTTTTTATGTATGTAAGTGTCAACAGCGGTCACAGATCAAGAGAGGTGAGGGCAATAAAGCTTCAGGGGAAGCTGAAGTACACATGTGTCTGGGGTGCACATGTGTGCACAGGTGTGCATGAGTGTGCACGAGTGTGCACATGTGTGCAGGTATGTATTGGTGTGGGTATGCAGTTGTGTATGTGCAAAGAGACAGAGAGGACTTGGGGGTCTGTGAAAGAAGTACAGGGATGATAGTAGGAGATAAAACTTCAAAGAAAGCAGTCATTAAAAATACGTGTGTCTGGGCTTTGCTGGTGGCTCAGTGATACAGAGTCCACCTGCCAACGCAGGAGACACAGGTTTGATCCCTGAGCTGGGAAGATCCCACCTGCCGTGGGGCAACTAAGCTTGTGCACCACAGCTATTGAGCCTGTGCTCCTGAGCCCGGGAGCTACGACTACCGAGTCCATGTGATGCAACTACTGAGGCCTGCACGCCCCGGCGCCCGTGCTCCGCCATGAGAGGTCACCGCCGTGCGAAGGCCATGCACAGCAGCTAGAAGGTAGCCCTGGCTTGCTTCAGCTACAGAAAAGCCTGCATAGCAATGAAGACCCAGCAGTGATAAATAAATAACCGGGTGTGTCTGAGGGAGGCTTCTCTGATGGATACAGTTTTTAGTTTTGCAGGATGAAAACCTTGTGGAGCTCAGGGCCACAACAATGTGAATATACTCAGTGCTACCGAATGTCCGTTTGAAATGGTTAAAATGGGAGGTTATGTATATATATATATATAGACCACAATTAAAATGTTTTTAAGTAACTGTCCAGTTTTAAACATGGTGTTGGGTACAATTTGGGACGACAACTGTGTTCCCAAAGGTCAGGGTTTCTCCTCAGGGCCTGGTGGGTGATGGGGAAGCAGTGTTGCTGCCCCGATAGAAGGAGGTCATGAGACCCCAAGGCCATTGCTTTCGTCTCTGGCTCCTCTGAACTGAGGTCTCAAGCGGGAACATGTAGGTCTCGGTTGGGACTGTCACACTTCCCGGGGCGACACCGGGCACTCACGAGGCAGAGCCCTTGCCTCTCCTTCCACTGTCCCTCCCCCACCCCCGTCAGTCCCCACAGTCTCTCTTCCAGGCCCAGCCCTGCACCCCCCACTCTCCTCCGACATAGCCCCTGCTTTGCCCACCTCCCTACCAGGAGCCTCCCCCAACTAAGGGCCCAGGCTTTAGATCTGAAACAGGCTCTACGTCAACCTAATACTCATACTCTGATTGAAAACTACTCTTTCCCAGCCAGCCAGGGGGCTCCATCTAAAAGTGCCCCCTGACACCCCAGTGGGATGCCCCCAGAGGAACAGCAGACCTCCCACCCAGCCCGGGAGCCCAGGTCAGCCCACAGCCGCCTGCCGGTCCCCCCGGCTCCAGAGGCACAAGTGGGTGCCTAGGAAGGAACTTTTGGGATCAGCCCCTTGGGATGGGCCTTCCTTCAGGCTTGTTGGGTGGGAACCACGGGAATCTGGTGTTCATCTCAGGCCTGGGGACAGTGTGGGGTCAGCCAGACATTCCAGGGCAGGGTACCACCACAGGGGTGCTACAGGTGTGCCTTGCTGAGAGATGTCCCATACAGGTCTATTTCTAAGTGTGTGTTAACTAACAAGAAAATTTAATCTAACCTCACCTCTTTCCAACCTGCCTCTCCAAGGTGCTTCGTTTTCTCTCTCTTCACATGAAAAATGATGCCAAGCAGGCCTCGCTTTTCCTTGCTGGGTTTCATGTCATTTCTGCTAAGATGTGACTAGACTTTCTCTCTCTCTCTCTCTCTCTCTCTCTCTCTCTCTCACACACACACACACACACACACACACACACACACACTGTTACTTCTCCTGAGGGGGACGGGAGGGAAAGAGCCCCCAAGATCTGACCTGCAGCCTCCACTTCATCCTGCTGAAGCCCTCCTGCATCCTGGACTTTGTTCTGAGACCCCGGAGCATGGGGTCCCAGGAAGTCATGGAGACAATGGAAACAGGGCCCAACCAGGCAGCCCCGGAGGACTCGGAGACCGGTCCAGGGCTCAGCGGGGGTTGAGGTCTTTCCACCCAGTGACCAGTCATGGCCATTCTAAGTGCAAACAAGGAATCCATTCAGCCCAGTCCTGGGTGGGGCCGGGGGAAAGGAGGCAGAGCTCCCAGGACCTGCAGACACCCCAGGGACCACTTGGGCTATAGTGGCAGGGGGTGCCGGGCCTCCAACCTGGGAAAGGGCCAGGGGGGCTGTGGGGAGAATGCGGCCCTGTGCTGGTCTCAGAGACACGAGCGCCGCACCAGCTCTGCCGTGTCCCCCGTGGCACCGTTACCCCGCCACACTGCAGGTCTGCTTGCCTTGAGCTGGGCCAGCGTGGGGACTGCCTGGCTCCTAGGTCCTGTTGGACTGGGAAGCCATGTGGGCACACAGACTCAGCTGCCATATGTGTCTTGGGAGAGTTCCCCGTTTTACATGGTTGGTACGTGTAGACTCAGTGGGTGCATTTCTAGAGTCTCCAAAGGAGTCAGAGACAAAAGGTCAAGACCCAGGCACCAGAAGCGTGTGGAGTGGCCACCACCATCCACTCTGTGCAAGGGGCAGGGCGGGATGGCCATGTGCAAGCTCTGGGATGGACCTGGGCTGGCAAATACAAGGGGGTTTCACTCCAACCCCGGGAGCGAAATACAAGGCCATTTCGTTTTATGGGATAAAGATTTGGGTCCTCTCTCGAGATGGATGGACATGGCCAGGGCAGAGGACGGGCAAGCAGGAGGAGGGTGCTTCAGCCAGAGGGGAGGCCCAGAGGGTGAGATGGCCCTTCTGTGGCTGAGGGTCCCTGGCCCACCTGGCTGCTTTCCTTGGTGAAGCCCACTCCCCTCAGATCCACCATGGGGGTGCCCGGATTCCCTGGAGACCCTGGACAGAAGCAGGCCACTGCACCGTCTGCCTTCTGGCATCCGCAGTCTCAGCCAGGGCCACCCCACGAGAGTCAACACTAAATAGACTGGGCGGGGCACTCATCTCCTCCCATAGTCTCTGTCCCCATCACCAGGTTTCTCCTGGATGTGTGGAGCCAGGTCAACGCAGCCATTGACATCACCCAGGGCCGGCCAGAGGCTCTTCAACTCCTCCCCGAGGAGTCATCTTCTCCTGTGGACTGACCAGAGTAGAAGGAAAGATGACCCGAAGGGCCTGGATGGCCCCTCCACAGCCCAGTGATGATGCCAGTGGGGACTGGACGTGCCCTTTTGTGCCCACTTTGTCTACAGTGCCCAGGGCATTTTAAAAGCTTCCCTCCTGCTATGCCCCATCCATGGCCTGGCCACACAGGCGGCATGCCCACTCTGGGCTGCTCCCTGCCCCCAGCATTCAGCACTCACACACCATGTCTCCACCCTCAGTAGGACCGACCCCCATGAGGGGCAGCCTCCGCACTCCTCGCCGCACATGGGTCCAGCCTTTGACGGAAAATGATGGAAGCTCAGGAAGCCACAGCAAACAGAGGTGGGGGGGGCCCAGGGCAAGTGGGCACCTGGAGCTTGCGGTCAGGCTTGGCCAGGGGAAGCCCTCTCCCCACAGCATTTTACTGACCCTACGAGCAGAGCCTGGCTACCAGGGGACCAGTCCCAGCTAATGGCTTCCATTCTCGGACATAAATGTTTCTGAGCACAAGTAAACAAGTCCTGAGTCCTGGCTGGTCCACAGAGCCCCCCAGCCAGGGGAGTGAAGCCAGGATCAGGGTCGGATGTGTGACCACCTCCCAGACACCAGTACCCCTGAGCTAGGGGGCTGCTGGCCCTGTGGGGGCCGGGGTATAGCCACAGGCCAGCTGGGAAGATGAAGTTCTTATCCCAACAACTGTTGCCATCTAGTTCAGTCCTTCCTGTATAACTGGGTCCTGGGGCTGCTTGTCTTCACCTTGGGGGACTGCACACCCACCTCTGTGAGTGGGTCCATGGAAACAAGGGATGTGCTGGGTCAGCTGCTCTGCACATCCTGGCCAGGGAGCCTGACCATTCTGGCTCACCTATCAGGGCTGGGACACTTGGATCTGTGGGTCTCTGCTGAGGCTGGGCTGGATGGTGGCCTTGGGGACAGTGAGCAGCAGAGGCCTGAGCCCTATCTCTGTGGGTCCCTCCCACTTCTTACTGTCAACCACATCCCATCCACAGTTGAAAAGCGTTATTTCTAAGGTCGCCTTTGTTCTTGAGCTGACACAGAGATTGACTGTTTCCACTTCCAAGTAGGCCAGGGACAAAACAGACAGCAAGGCACTTCCCCAAAGAACAGAGAGTCCTGAGAATAGAGGGTGGAAGGGCTTGGGTCGAGGAGCTCCCTGCTCTTATCTGGACACCAGGCACCTGCAGCGTGCAGCTTTCCACCCCCACAAACAGCAATGTGACTCTGGGGACTGATCTTAGGAAAAGAATTGTCAGTGGCAATGACCTGGTCTCCTGCCCCACGTGGTGCCCCACCATGGACACTGCAGGGATGGGCCCAAGGTGTGCACATGCCCAGGGCCCTGCTTCCAGAACCCTGTCTCAGA